TAAATATCTTTATCAATAGGGTAGGTTAGGTTAGGTTAGGTTATCGGGTTTTGTTCAAGTGACCACCCTCTTTCGATCCCCTACCTCCACCCGCTTGAAAATAATTTTTTTATTGAATTTTATTTGAATTGTAGTGTATGAAAATTGTCAAAATACTCCACTTTCAACCCCCATAACTTTTTATGGGGGTGAGACCGCCGCAATTTTTTTATGGGGTTTTACTCAGGTGACCACCCTCTTTCGATCCCCCTACCCATCCCCATCTAACCCCCATAACTTATTATGGGGGTGAGACCGCCACGAACTTTTTATGGTACAGTGGTGGGGGAGACGTCCTCTTTCGATCCCACCCACCCCCACCCTCCAAATTTATTTATTAATAACTGTCAAGTTTTGTTATTAAAACTAATTCCACAAAGACAAGAGCCTCGCAAAGATCTACCAGCCCGGAGCCTCGCAATAGCTAAAGCCGCCCCTGGTTCCTGCCCGATTTACATGTTATATAGTTATATTCGATATATTAATATTTTTTGTTATTTCAAAGGCCGGTAACGGACAAGTCAATAGAAGATACGTTATGCTTGGAAGTATGGGATTTCGACCCTGCCGAGTCTGTCAGAGAAAAATTGGGTAAAATGTTCCAAGTGAAGGGTATAAAAGGGGTGAGAAAATTCGTAAAAGAGGTGGCTGTTACAGCGACAACGGGCCAACATACGAACGAACTTGTCGGAATGGCAAGAATACCTCTCAAAGTGAGTTACCGTTTTCAAGTACCTTTGAATTTCTAGAGGAAAAAACTTCAGCTCAACATGAAAAACTTTTCTTTCTAGACAATACCTGCCTCCGGAATGACAATGTGGTACAGTTTAGATAAGAAAAACAAGTTAACGAGGCAAGGAGTGGTTAAAGTGCACTTAGCATTTGGGTCGGAAAAGAATCAACAGGTGGCAGCGCAAGAACACAGGCATTTACTGCGAATACTGTTACTCCACGAATTAGAATCATCTCAAGTGAGTTGACGCTGAGTTTCTTGAGTTTACAGGGGAAATATTTTATTTAATAATCTAGCATAATCATTAAAATTGCATCGTTGAAAATGATAGTCGTAATATCTCCGTTGTGTAACTGAGCTACCTTCTTTTTGACTTCTTTAAGAGAGTCAAATATTATTTTTTTTATGTCTAGGTCAGTCCTTACTGGTGGTGCGGTAACTTTAGCGGTCAAGCAGAAGCAATAATCACACAGCATAGTGTTCAATCGGGTCTAACCGTGACTGACGTTGCTTTGTCTCAATTCGCGGTTTATTCGTCAATTCACAGGGACCATCCTCTCAATTTTGCCTTATTTTCAAATCTCATCGATAAACTGATCAAGCCCATCCAAACGATGACCGTTTCCGAAGAAGAGGCTAAACTGTTCTGGGATTCGGTCAAAAGACTCTTACCTTCCTGTTTCGCCACGATCCGCAAGATCCGAAAGAAGTGTCCGAATGAAAAAGCCACCCTAAAGATGATCAAGGAGGTGCTCAAAATTTTGTCTCAACTTATCACCATCGATCCACCCGAAAACTTTAACTTATTTCCGGCCAATTTGTATGGATGGCTGTCGTATGCCGGAGAAGGACCCAACTGTGATATTAATGCTACGTTAAGGGATGCAATTTCTCAGGGAGCAAGCGACTGGTTTAATTATATCCTCGAAAATAATCAAACGTCCGACAATAGCGAAGAAGGAAAATTGCAGAATATGCTCAAGATTATTCAATTGGTCAGGGTCGATTTGCAAAGAGCTATCGAGTATTATGATCGGATGTTTCAAGAGTAAGTACATGCACATTTTTTAGTATTTCATATAAATGCCAAATACTAAAGTCATTAGCTTCATATTACTTCTATTCTACAAGAACTGCCAAAAAACTTACTGATTGATCGATTAATCACACTACAAGTACAGAAAATAATCCACTATTAAAGACTAACACTACATCATAGTTGTCATTATAACCGATGTAATAACCAAGTTCCACTGCATTTTACATACTAGTTTTGGGTGACTCTTACCCCAATGCATTACAAACCTGTTAAAGACATACCTGTACCTTATCGAAATAACTTGGAATTGAAATAAGTTCTCTTTTAGAATAATGAATTTCCAATATGCCAAGTGCCTTTACATCTTGTATCAAGTTAGGATAGCAACAATGGTAGAACCGGAAGTAGTGACCATGTGCAAATCCCTTAAAACAATTAATTACGATTGGAACTGTTTTTCGGACTCGGAAGCAAACGAGCCCTTAGCGCTAGGGACAAAACTATTCGAGTTGTACTTAGCCCTTCAACGTTTCGTTGTGTAAGTAGTATTTTACAAAGTCACCCTCTCAACTACTGTTCTTAGCCCAAAAAAATGTACGAAAATTTCACTGTTATTAGTTTAAAAACAACGTAATGTCATTTTAGTCTGGGTCAGGGACTATGTCCAGCTGATTACGAAAGCTTCCATATAAGAAATTTCTACGATTGGTTCCACGGGGGCGTTACGCAGTGGCTTGACATTGCCGTCTTTAAAGCCTTAAAACGAATAGAAAAAGCCGTCGAATTGGATAATCTCAAACCAGTGGATAATACAGTAAAATTTAGTTCTTCCGCATTAGACACGCTCACCATTTTTCATCAAGTACGTTGGGCGCGGGAAAAGTGTATTTCAAAATCTAACAATTATAATTACAGATTAAAATTTTTTGGGATCAACTTAATTGGCCTGATGTCGAAGGATCCTACACGTTTATCGCCAAAATAATTGACGTAAGTAAATCTACATGTACTTAATAACAATTAGGAAGTAATGATTGCGTGGGTCGCATGTACTTCGAATTTATGGATTCACCATTCTAGGTTTATTAAAAAAGAGTGCGGAACAACCGACTATACGGCTCACGCGTGCGTGATCAAAACGTGCGAATAATAATACATGTATTTCTGTGAAATTCTTGCGCGAAAACGTTCGAGGGGATGAAGATGAGAGTTGAAAATGAGGTGGACAGTAGTTTCAATCTTTCGTGGTTTCGTTAACGTAATTAATTGTTTTCGGTTTTTTCCTGGGGTGACAGGCTAAAGAGGTAGAAACCCAAAAACCCGTAAATAATCAGTTATAACGTCGTAAACTGTAGCATGTAGTTGGTTATGTAAGGTAAACGTCGGTCGGAGAAGGAAGAGAGTATGGAGGGGCATAGGAATGACCTAAAAAAGTGAGACGTAGGATGAAGACAACGGGGGTGGAAATGAATAAATAAATGAATGAATAAATGATGTTGGGACCGTTGGTTGTCTTTTTTTTTGTGGGTGTAGAGGGGGAATTTCACCCATCATAGCCTAACCCTTTCTCTATGTTTTTTGTGGCAGTGGGAGGTTAGATCGTGGTGGGTCATCCCTACACCCTTCCTCCTTTTTCTTCCACCAATATATAGAATTACCTTTGCTTCATTTTTAAGTCTTATTTCTCTGGAGCCTCAATTGTAAACAATCATTGAGTGATATCGGAAGGTATCGGGAATGTTAAATAAAAACCTTAACAAAAACACTTTTGTAGGATATTTGCCGATGTTGCGTTTTTTACGCAGACAGAACGTCTCAAAGGGTGGAGGGCTTGGGCGATAGAGTGGACGTGTACGAGAAGAGATTCGAAGTGACCAGCGAGTGGTGCCTTGCGATCAACAACATAGATTACGTACGTCAATCTCTCAAACCCTTCACGGACAAATTAGGCATGGAGGATGTTATACAGCAACTATCCGAACTGAAAAGTCCATTGGACGCGCAAAGATGCCAACACACCCTCAATAACGTCATAGAAAATTCGATAGATACTGTTCGAAACAAAATAATTGAACTTTTAGAAACTGTCACCAATAAGGTAAGCTCATTTTTGCCTTAACATATTTGTTGACCTGATCGAAAACAACGAACTGAAATTTTAGATGTCGCCGGCTATGAAGAGGCTGCTAGTCGAGGGTGCCGAACTGTTTAGTCAAGATAGCAACAGTATCGATAAGGTGATGAGATATTTGGATAACAACCTTGCCACTTTACACGAACATCTAAGTGAAGACAATTTCAACAGGATCCTAGAAATTATTTGGGAAAATTTGGCGGAAATTTTATCTGATTTGATTCAATCTAATATTGACGTAAGTCGCTTAAAATAAATTTTACTGTTGCTATTTTATAAAGATGTTCTGTTTTTTAAAATTAGCCCCACGTAAATTATTTCTTTCTCCCTTTAGAAAAGAAGACCTCCGTCGTTCTTCGCGAATCTACGAAATACCCTCCAGTTAATGGTTAAATGTTTCAAGCAATCTGAGGGCGATTCAGAATGCGACCAACTTAAAAAAGTGGAATACTTGTTGTTTATAAACGGTCTTGAAACGTCGGAGTTGATACATCAGGTACGAGTGAAAAATTAAATGCAAAAGTTTCGTTATTTTGATTGATTGAATCGCGTTTCTGTTTTCTAGGTTCATTTAGACAGATGGAGAGAGCAGCAAAACATTAAACAGGGTCCCTTTGGTGAATTGACCGTGAGGGCGAAGTTTGAAGGAAATGTTTTATTTGTGGAAGTGATGAATGCCCGAAACCTTCATCCAATGGATTCAAATGGTAAGCCAAAAGACATTAATGTTGTACACTACACCACTGGATTTTGTACCTACATGTAAAATTTTATAACATAATTACTTTTTTCAATCTTTAATCGTTACTTTAGTCATACAGGAAAAGCTCTTTATTCGCGGGGTATACGTTACATAAATATGCCGCGAATATAGAAACCGTGGATATGGAATCATACGAGATGCGTTCTAAGGTTCCAAAATAAAACCAATATGTATCAGAATAAAATCAATTCATTGAGAAATTTGCAAATTAAAATTAATAGTTATAATCACCTTTAGACAAGGGTTAAAAAAAAATTAGTGATTTTTTCTTGTTTTGAATTTTGAATTAGTCCACTTTTAAAAATAACATCGAATCCTTTTCTGTTTATTCGGTTACATCTTTTATAAAAGCTGCCTCGGCACGTACCAACAGTACATACTCAAAAAATGACGATACTTTTAGGGGATTCAGCAGTACATGCGCCATAGAGTAAAAACATGCTTTTCGGTTCTAGATATCATGAGTTTAATGTTTGGAACAGAGGTCTCAAATTTTGTAGTAAGTTAGATAAAGCTTTGTTCTAAAGCCTGTCGAAGGCCATTTTTAAATTTTTTAATTTCTATTGAAAATACGTGTCCTACAAGAAGCATCAACTTTAAGCACTTGTAAAAGCTTTTAATGACCATATTATTGAAAACCGAAAACGTACTGAGTTAGTGTGAACCTTTGTCTGTTACTATACAAAAAATCACTTATTTATCTCGCAGCGTTAAATCAAAATGTTTAGAATAGAAATTCATGTTTTCGGAAAAATTCACACTAGGCTTGAGCGGTCTATTGCGGTCAATTCCCTTAATAAATGACACCGAATTCTTTTCTGTTTACCGATTGCATCCGCGAATAATGAAATTTTAGCCGCGAATACAGGAACTGGGTTGCAATTTTTTCACCCGCGAATAATGAAAACGCGAATAAGGAAACCGTGAATAAGGAACTTTTACTGTAATTAATTGTAGTAATAATTAACTAGTAATTAAGACATTCTAGTGTACTTGCTCGCCTTACTACAACAAAAAACAACGCACTTTACGATGAGGCAGAAGTGAAAGCTTTTTACCTCTCTCGCGCATGCGTGCCGTGTGGTTTACCCCTCCCCTTTTCTCAGTAGCAAGAGAACAAGCGGTTGCTCAAGGCCGTCATTGCCTTCTACGCGTATGGAAACTTTAATAACTTGATATTAGATAGAGATATCGTGATAATCTTTATTATAAAAAGTGGCCAAGCGCCTAAGGAAAAAAAAATAAATAAATTTGATAAAAATCTATCGAGTAATTTTTACGTAACGAGCACACATCAACGGATCCAGCTATCCTTTTATCTTTTACATAGACATTAAAGCAAAATTTACCTTAAAATTTTCAAAAGAATCATGGGACACTCTGTCTGGATGTAGGTACGTTAATAAATTTCTTTATTCACAGGTTTGTGCGATTCTTTTGTAAAAGTGTGCCTACTGCCTGAAGAAAAGTTTACCAACATCCAAAAACCGAAAACGCAGACGCAAAACAAAACTCAGTTTCCACTATACGACGAAACGTTTAAAATGTAAGTAAATTCTAAAGAAACCTTTTCGCGATTGTCAGTCATGGGGGCATGCGACACATCTGAATACGTTCTACTATTTTTTAGAAATCTTACATCTGAGCAAAAGAATATAAAAGACGGACTTTTACTGTTCAGCATAAGAGACAAAGACCTATTTGGAATGAACACTCAATTTATTGGAGAAGCCTTTCTCCACTTCAACGAAATTGCCCAATCTACTGAATCCATTGAAAGCCATCCACAGTTACAATTACCCATACACAGGCCAACAAATTTAAGTAAGTTAACAACTGATACATTTGTGTTAGAAAACGTTTCAAAAGAGTAAGGGACATTTAACATTGTAGCTGGATTTTTCTTTTGATATGACCTACTATATCATTAGGAGCTACTATTTATGCCGGAATACATATTATGAAAATTAATTTGTTTAAATTAAGATAGAAAACTTATTTAAAAAAACGCACTGTTAAGACAGCAGGTAAAAGTTGGTCTGTGTTCTGTCGGAGCTGTCTGCGACGCGCTGATGTGATCCAAAAAGATCGAAATCGCGAACCGCGTGTGGCAATTTCGACAGAATACAGACCACTTCGAATTATTTTATTCGATTATGGTAACGTGCTTATTACGTTGAGGTTAGCTACGCCGGGATTCGTTTCAGCAACTAGATATCCACACAAGTGGACCTTGTTGGAGCATACTTAATCCTAAAATGTAGCATCGTACTGCAGATGGCGTTTACCGCGCCATTTGTGGTATTTTCTAAAACGCACTGTTAAGACAACAGGTAAAAGTTGGTCTGTGTCCTGTCGGAGCTGTCTGCGACGCGCTGATGAGATCCAAAAAGATCGAAATCGCGATCCGCGTCTGGCAGTTTCGACAGAATACAGACCACTTCGAATTATTTTATATTAAACCTAAACTTATTTAATTTTCTGTAAAATGCAGAAAGGTGTTTATAAGCACTTTCAGATCATCAAACATTCGATTTAGAAAGATAGATATCATTAAATATCAATTTTGGTATTTTGTCATCGGATATCGCGTATCTTTAAAACTTGTCATTTTCTGCAAAAAACTGCTTAATGATGAATTATGACATTCAATACTATACCAATACAGTATTTCAAATTTAATCAGAATGAAATTCAATGTCACCACAAGGAATTGAAATGTTATCATTTTTATAAATATATCGAGTCCGATTCCCGATTCCACCCATACGCACAACCAAAATCGACCCTTTAAATTAAATACGTTGATTTTCAAAATATTCTAGTATATTTGTGCATATTAATTTAGTTTTGTTTAATTCACAGATACAGATCTGATGAAAGCTTTAGAAAGCAGACAGGGTGATAAACTAGCCAAAGAATTTGTGAAAAAATTCAAACAGAAAATGGTTAAAGAAACAAACTAATATTTTTAAGACTGCCTTTTTTTTAAAAAATTTTATGCCGCTTATAAGTATTTTCTAGTTCTTTAATGTAAACGCATGGAGTAGTACTTTAAAAAAATAATTTTAATATTCTAGACTTTTTTTTATTTGTCACATTTTTAATTTGTTTATATTCTATATATCTACTATTTTATTTATTCGAAAATGTTTTATCGTTCTAAGAACAGACGTTGTATTAGTGTACGTATGTATTTTGTATTTCGCAGAAATATTTTTCTGATGAATAAATTGTTGTATTAAAAACCGCTTCTATATTTTTCTTCGCATAAACCAAACCCTAAAGATTTTAAAACAAGACGAAAATGGAGAATAAACCACACAATCCTAATTAACTCTTTGTCAATTACAAGCAATTTTTCTTGTCTTACGACAAAGTAGCAAATTACAGTAATGTTATAATATGAAATTCAAATTTGAGGTAGCGTGTAGTGGGTAAAAAATTCAAAAATGAATTTTCAGAATAATACTTCATATTAAACTAACTCACTTCGAAAATATGTCTAAATTGTATGTATGTTTACAGTAAAGTTGTTCGACAAATAGATGATCAGCTTTTTGTCAAAAATTGTGTTACAAAGAACTGCTCATAATGCCAAAACTAATAGAAAAATAACGAATAAAAACGACTCACATAAACGAAGACTTCTCTGACTCCTCCGTCGTTTGGTAAAATCTGCTTCAACTTCGACATCTAAAACAATAAAAATAAATACGTAGTATACTAAATTAAAAATGGAAAATAAAAAATAAATCCAATTCAACGTTAACGCATTAAAAAGGAGTAAAATTTGTTTCGTAATTAATTTGTAGGTAAGCACTAAACTACTAAACTGATTCCAAAAATTCTTCGACCAACAGGAAGTACACAATCCCTGAAAAACATCGACAGTTTTTTATTTTGATAAAAATAAGTTTTCAATTAGAAATTTCAGTTTTTGTAAATTATTAAGATCGAGGTACTTTATGCTGGTTGCGGAAAATGTTGTTTATTTTGTGACCCTACCACTCCTGGGGAAAAGGACAGAAGTGCTCGGTACTGTTCATTAAAATGCGACCAAATCCTAAAAGCATTTACCTTAGCTATTAGTTGTAATAAGTAATGTAAAGTATTTAGATTTGTAAAGGTAGCGAAGTTTTCAAGGGGTAAAAACAGTGGTCCATTGGAATTCTTTGGAAGTAATTTACTTCAACCAGTCGTGAAAGTCTAATACAGTCTGATTTGTAAGGGTTTTGTAATGAATAATATAAATATTTTTCATTATATATTACTGTAAATATTTTTGACTTCCATTTCATTTGCAGTGGGTAAAGTAAAAGTTTTACATTAATCATTACTTTTGAAAAAAAAAATTATTTATACTTTTATAGGATAAGAAAGAGTAGAAGTTGAAGGTGCATGGACTGACGACCTTATGATGATGAACCATTATTTTTGTGACAGGTTCCTTATCTCTAATCAAACCAATAAAAATTTAAGATGACAAAATGATCAAAACCGTAACCAAATATATTTCAGTGTAATACATTGTTGTTTAAATTATTGTAAAATCTGCAATACTTATGTAGTAGTATTTTTTGAAAAACCACAAATTACACACAATATCTGTAAAAACTTTTTAGTCTTCGAAAAGAAAAAGCCAAAACGTCGGTATAGTTAAAATAAAACAAATATAATTCACCCCTTAGCTACTTTTAATTTAGAAAATACTAAATACGTTTAATCCCCGTTTGGTACACCAAAAAGTCTTTAAAAATTTACTATAACATTTAGGTACCAGGACTTATTTAAGTATATCATTAAAATGTCGTTAAGAATCAAGATATTGCAATAATTGATGTTAAGTGACTTACTCGAAATGATCAAAGATACAAAAAGAGTAATCATACTTGCAATTAGTATAAAAATTAATAAAGCAGTTCGTCACAGATGTCAAAATATAATTTTTAAATTTCATTCTAATTTACTTTCACTGTTACAAAAACTATTGAGCCAAACAATAAACAGATTTTGGCAAAGTGACGTGAATGTTAGTAGACGTGGTACGCGATAAGAACCAAATGAATATCAAGGAAGTTGTAGAAGACAACTTTACAAAAACAAGATTAATTCAGGGTATGTTAATTAGTTAAATAGTTTTAGTTTTCTTTCATAAACTATTACTAAAAATCGTAGTATTTTAAACATAAAATTTTAGACGATGTCCTCAAACAACTACGAATATTCGCCCATATCTTATGGTTTAAGTATGGAAAAAAGTATATACTTTTCTTTTTCGTACCGGTCAATATTATGGGTGTTATTATGATGTTAATACCAGTTTATTCCCTTAAATCTAGCCTGACCAACATAGCAAAACAAACAGTGTTAATTGTTACAGATTTTCAGGTACTTTGGCGTATATAAGGCGTTTAAAATACAGTATTGGATTACAATTTACAATCCAATGACATGAAAAAGTGTGCAGATTAACATGATCCACATTTTCAACAACAGAATCCTAACAATTAGTTTTAATACTTTTTGAACTTGTCCTCTTTCAGATGGTGTACAAAGCAGTGTTCTTTTTATGGGAATTCCAACGAGTAACAAAAATGATCAACACTGTGGAAACAAAATTTTGGAATATTAACAGCTGCAGTGTAAAAATGCGCCACAAAGTAGAAACTAGTCTTAATAGGGTTATTATTTATTGTCTCAGTCACATCGGCCTGGGTTACACAGGCATTGTGGTAATATTTATGTTCCCATTGGTACCATATCCGGAAGGCAAGAAACAGTTGCCCATATTCATGTGGTTCCCCGAATTCGTAGACACCGAAAACGCTTTTTTCCATATCTTGATATATTCCTTCTCAACGGTCAACGCGTTCGTTTCACTTTCGATAACGTTCAGCTATGACTTGCTGTTTGTTTATTTTACGCAGCACCTTTTCATTCAGATTTCATTACTTCAAGAAAAATACAGGTCAGTTTGCGATATTGAAGGAATTTACGAAAATTACTTGGTCAAATCGAAGAAATGCCAGAAAATCATTAAAAATCGTCTTACTTATTGTTGGAAGCAACATGCTCTTCTTCTCAGGTATGGTCAATTAAATTAACTACATACAATGCCTACCTACATGTAAATTACACTAGCATGACTCTAAATTATTTAAATAATATCTACTGTTTTTTAAAAATATAACGAACATTCCTAAACAGAAAGTACAGGGGTTGACGACAGGTCCAAATTTGGACCAGTAGTAAGAACATTGTTCTTTTAAACGCAAATAAGGGTAACTATGTCTATAGGTCTTGACTGCCCAATGAGATTAATGTCTGGTCCAATATGGGACAATGATGGAACAAGCTCGGACCAAGCTTGGTCTTATTGTGAATTCCTACGTGGGTTTTATCCTGACCTTAATTAATTGACGTTTCTGTTTTACTATATTTGAATTTTATATCCATCATTCTCCTTCATTGTCACAAAGTAAATTAGAAGTAAAAAACAAATTAAGCTATAACACTCGACAACTTTAATGTTGCATAGAGTCGTCAACCTGAATGCACACTAGTTGGACATGTCAGTCTTCATGTATCCCAAAACCTACAGCATTCCATTATTTAATCCAATACAGGTCTTTCTCTGCCCCCACATCTTTTATTCCTATCTGCCCCCATATCCTTTACTCCTATCACATCTAAACACTTCTAATTTTTTCTTTAGGGCTGCGCCCACACACCGTTCACGTTTTGCACCTGCACACATCCGTGCCCCAAAAAATCTCTTCGAATTTCTAAATTAATCTTTCGCGAGAACAGAATCGATTTCTTTGTATTACAACCGACTTGACAACGTGCTTTTATTCGTTTCATGTCTACTGCTTTACATCCTGAATTATCAAAATTCAGTGACTTTTTTTTTATATATGCCTCATAACTCTACCTAGTAGTAGGTACCTCATAAACTCATCATCATAAGGTCATCGGTCCTAAGACTGGTTGGACGCACACCTCAACTGCTTCCTACCTTGAACTAAACTTCGCATTTCCCCAAAACTACAGCAACCCACATCCTTAACTATTTGAGAACAGTAGTCTAATCTAGGTCAATCTCTACTCCTCTTAACTCCTGTTTCTGCCTCTAATATGTCTCTGACTAGACCATCATGCCTGAGAAGGTGTCCTACCAACTTATCTCGCCTGTTTTTTATTGACTCTCATAAAGTCCTCTGTTCTCCTATTCTTTCTTCTCTATTCACGGTATCCTCGTCATTTGCATGTTACACCATATTTCGAAGGATTTAGCATTTTCCTTTCCGCCGCGTTCACCGTCCATGTTTCGCACCCGTAGAGCGTCGTGCTCCAAACATACACCTTCAACAACCTTTTTCGAATTTCTAAATCAACCGTTCGCGAGCATACAAGTGACTTCCTTTTATTGAAAGCTACTCGACCCTGCGTTATCCTCTGCTTTATATCCCTACTACTCCTTCCGTCCTGACTTATATGACTCCCTAGATACCGCAATTCAGCCACTTCTTATAATTTTCCGTCTTCTATCTTTAGATTCGCCCTTTCCCTACTTTTTCTTCCCTTGCATGCCAGTATTTTTGTTTTACTTTTATTTATTTTCATACAATACTATTTGTCAATACCGCTTCCATTTCATTTAAAGCTATCTCTAACTACTCCTTGCTAGATGCTAATATTACTATATCAATCTGCAAATCTAAGCATACTAATCATTTGCCCCTGTATATCTATTCCTACCCCATAACCTACATAGATTAAAAATAATTTCAACTACATACTTTAAAAATTTTCTTTTTCAGCTTTGCTCATGATATAAATGAAATGTTATCAATTGTAGCTTTTCTCCAGTTGGGAATATCAACGCTTACAATAACCTTCTTATCATTTTGCGTAACGAAGGTAATATAATCAATTAACATTATTTTGTGGAATAATTATCGTCATTTGTAATTTTATAACATTTTACAGGAAAGACAATTCAGCATTACGACTTTCTACATGTTTTCTTTCCTCTATTCAATAATAGTGCAATTCTTTATATACACCTATCATGGAACAAACCTTCAGGAAAAGGTTAGTTATTAATTTCAAAAGTACATTCCTCAATCCGTCTATACTATAATAAAAAATAAAATAAATCAATTAACACAGTTTTCCCAAAAAGTATTAACTGAAGGTACGCATTATGTTTCCAAAGCTTTTAATGGCATTGCAATTTAAATTTCAATTGTACTTTTTTTGTAAACGCTTTTTGTATCAGTGTTATTAATGATTTCGATTGAAGTACTAGACAAAGGATTCAACAATACGTAATTAGACAAAGTTAGATAAGAGCATTCGGAACTGAAATCGAATTGACGAGGTGGCTTTCCGAATGCTAAGCTGATGATGATCTGAACCGTTGGACCACGCCGGTCGATTGAATTCTTGGTTTAGTACATTTCCATACATATTAATTTTAACAATAGGTGGTGGAGACACCTATAGATACCAATTCAACAAGTTTCACAGCTCATATAAAATTTTTCAGACTAAAAATATTTCGCTGGCCATATACGAATCGAAATGGCATTTATTTGATATAAGTATACAAAAAGACATAGCATTTGCTGTAATGGGTGCTCAGAAGAAACTTACTTTAACTGCCGGAGGATTTCTTGTTATCAACAATAACACTTTACTTCAGGTACGCAACTATTATTAAAGTATCACAAACTAAAAGGAAATTACTTTTCAGTAGTTCAATAATATTAAAAACATTCTAACTGACATTTGAGTTTCACTTTTGTAACAGAACAACTAAGTAAAAGTACTTTAATAAATCAACTCATAAATGAAAATGGATGAAAAATAATATTTTGTTTTAGGTATTTAAATCTTCGTTTTCGTATATTACCCTTTTGCTGTCTTTATCAAAGTGAACAACTTTATTGAGACTAGTAACAAATATTACATAACTTTTCGAGGCAAATAGGAATGAAATCTTTTTGGCATCAGAAAAAAGATAATTTTTCATAAGTGGTAACTAAGTATTTACTGTGTATTTGTAAATGTTATTAATAAATGTAAAATAAAACTATTAAAAATAATCAGTAGCTGATTGGAGATGTGAAAAATTTAGTAATATAAAACAAATACCAACGTTTCGCCACTGGTTTGAGGTTTTGTCAAAACTGAAATACATAGTGAAGGTGTAGAAGTTTTACAGGAGTGCTTAAAACACACATTACAACCTAAAGAGTGAAAATATTTTTTTTTTCAATTTCGTGGAATTAAAATTCATTTCCAATTATTCAAAAATTTAGTTAATAACGAACCAACTCAATATACGAATTTTGTTGCCTTATGAAGGTCTAGTAAGAAACAAAATAGAGGCAGAAACGGGAGTTGCGAGGAGTATAGGTAGACCTAGATTAGATTACTGTTCGCATATAGTTAAGGATGTGGGTTGTTCTAGTTTTAGGGAAATACGAAGATTAGCTCAGGATAGGAAAGAGTGGAGGTACGTGTCCAACCAGTCTCAGGACTGACGACCTTATGATGATTCCTTTCGATTATCAATTTTAGCCATGTTAACGCTTTACAGTTTTCATGTAACAGATCACTAATAAATTGCTTAGGCAATTGACTGTGATACATTCATTCATACTTTCAATATCTAAATTATTTTGACTAATAAGGTACGTTGTATTTTATTAGTGATATGTCTCAAAACATGACCGGAATTGACGATCGAAACTTCGCAAAATAAGACAATAAAATTTTTATGTTGAACTGGTTAGTTATTGGAAAAAGTATGAAGAGTTAGAAACAGAAATCTTTTTTTTGAAATAACAAACAACGTATTACTCAACTCGCCCTTCAGAACTATTAAAATTACAAAGAAAACTAAAGTTCAAAAACAAACTTTTGTGTTTCAAGTTTCACGACAGTACTACAGCTCATTTTTCATTGTTCGTTTGGAGAATTTCTAAAGCGACAAAGGCCAGTCTACCAATAAATACACTAAAACCTACACCTAAAGTTAAACGAAAACAAAGGAATTTTACTAAAACTAAAATGGTAAAGTCAGGTACGTTAGTATTTAAATCTTTTTTTAACGTTGATTAACAATTGTGAATTATAAATATTTACACCCAAATTATTTATGCAGGTATATTTAATAAAATACTTCTATAAATTTACCAAAATGATAACTCAAAGACGTTTCAGAATAGAATTAAAGAAAAATATGGTGCATATTATCAATTGCGTTTTGAATACGTAAGCATCTCGAAAGAAACCTTTTGAAAATGTATGTAATCGTCTTCTTGGACTGGTCATTTAAAAACATTGCTATGTTTTTAAAATAAGGGTATAATCATTAAGGTTAATGAGCACATATTCCTGGGCAAATGGTGCACCATTAGCGTTATTACAGAAAATTGTGGGTGGAATGAAACAAAGAAAAGCAACCATTAAAAGTTCAAATCGTCTAGTATTTAAAGATTTACATGAAAACTCTCTTTCATTCTTTTTCATGGCAAAAACGCGGCAGCACGCAAACGATAAAGAAATGGATGCATTCACCAAAACAAAATTAATGAAAGGTAAGCAAACCTACTTGTACTATTTTTTAATTTTTTATCGAACCTGAGGTAATCAATTTCCTTTAGAACCCGGATTTTCTTTATTTTTTTGTGGGTTTCTTCGCAGTATCAAAGATTTTCGAAATGAAATAAGGTATTTCGTAATTGAAAGTAGTTTTCATGAAATCTTCAATGCTTAGCTCCTAGCTTTGTGAAGATACTTTTTCCAAAAAGAAGTCATATGTTTAAGGATACATGATTCAAGCAATTTTATATCATCTTCAAAATATGTATAATTGGCAATATGTTTTAGTACTAGAACTCAATATTTTGTAAAACAAAATAAAATATGTATTATCCCAATTAATAAACCAAAAGGAGACTAACTCCAGTTACCACAAACTCCGTTAACTGCAGGCATGTGTTTCACCCACTTCTAGTAACATTTGCGTTGAAAATGTCAACATTAGAAGTGGGCGAAACAGATTTAATGAATCTCTTTTTGGATTAATTATTTAATCCTTTACCACAGTCTCCATGTCCTATTTTAAATTTTATTAATCGTTTTCCTTGTATTAAAATTAAGACAGTTTCTTAAAATTTCAGTGGATGGATTATCCATAATACGAAAAATGTGCAATTTAGCATGGTTCACAAATAAAGGGATTTCTGTTTTCGCTGTTAGTTTACCGATAAATATAGTGCTTTGCTTGTTACTATCAATGACAATCTACGAGATACGAGATAACATCACAAATCTTGCAAAACATGTTACAATAACTACTACAGATATCCAGGTAGGTCACCTAGAAGGTGCATTTAGACAGCAAATTCTCTTTTGTTACGTCAGGTTACAAAAATTTCTATTAGTCTCATCATCACTGTCGTTATTATTATTTTAAGTATTCCTATGTCGAAGAGAGCCGTTCACAATACGTAAAGCATTTTTTTACATCACCATATTAAAAGCAATGATAACGACATATTTAACACCTAATCTTATTTCTATAATCAGATCAAACATCATTAGTACATGATGCTTAATATATGGGCAACGTTTATTTCTTAAGCGGTAAATTGACATACATATTTTTTTTATTCGTATATTTAACGAATAGAGTGTGGAGGTGAATGTAGAGATCAAGGAAGTCAAATAATTTAGGATCAATGAAGAGGTGGAAAAATAAAGCAAAGAACAGTGCAGGGTCGAGTTGCTCTTAGCAGAAAGATATCACTTCTGTGCTTATGAATACAATTCGCAAAAGATTACTAAAAGTATACACGTTTGAAGCAGAGAAAGACTTATAGATTAGATTACTGTTGGCAAATATTACATTTAGCGATGTGGGATGTTTTAGTTTCCCTGAAATGAGAATATTATCTCGGAATAGGAAGGAGTGAAGACGCGTCTCCAACCAGACTAACAAGCTTATAACGATGGTAATATTTAGAAAATATTTTCATTATAAAAAAAAAAAGGTTTTTAACTACAGAAGCTTCTCACTTCCAGGCTCCAATGCATCCCTATTATCATATGCATATTAGTTTCATCAGAACATATGAATTGCTATTTACATATTTACATTTAGAAAAAGAAGGAGCCAAACTTTTCGTCAGTGTTTTATGTTCTTATATTTGCTTAGTCTAGACACACCATTACGTAACTCTTGTTTCAAAATGTCATTAGTCTTAGCCACCTTTCAACCAACCGAAATAGCCTAGAAGATTGTAGCACATTATGGTATTCGGAAGGACACCGGTTCCATTCCAAGACCGTCTGTCCTGACCTAACAATTTCAGTGGTTTCCTTGGATTACTTAGGCAAATACTGAGATAACTTTCTCACCCTAACCAGCACCCATCCATTTCCATAATTCCTAAAAGGGGACTGAACAGGTTCTGCTGCCTGAAATAGGGAACTGCCCGCCCAACAGTTTCTGTCACCAAGCGGTATGGCCTACACATTTAAACCATAGCATTCAGGACACCAGTTCGACTTCTAGTCCATCTCTGGTCCTAGTTTCGCAGTGACTTATTTAGATTATTTAGGCCAAAGATTCCCAAACTATGTATAACTAATTCGATGTGGCTTGTTTGTATCACTTAAGCCAGAGATTTCTAAAATGTCTATAATTGATTCGATTTAGCCCATTTAGACCATAGCTTGGCATTTAGGAGAACACCAATTCGATTCCGAGTCCTTGTCTCGCTATGGCTTGCTTAGATTATTTAGGCGAGAGATTCACAGTGTCTATATAACTTTTCATTCAGGGAGACACCACTTCAATTCCAGGTTCGTCTCTGGTCCCATTCACTATCTTCTGTCTTCATTCCGCTCGTCGCATTTTTCTCATCCTAACCACCACCCATCCATTCCTATAATTCCTAATAGGAGACTGAACAGGGTCTGCTGCCCTTTCCTCTGAGGAGGGAACTACTCGCCCACCAGTTTCTGTCACCAAGCGGTATAGTCTACACATTTAAACCATGGCATTCAGGACATAATTGATCGGATTTTTATAACATCTTATTTAGCATTATGAAGGACACTGGTTCGATCCCAGAACCGTCTGCCCTGATCCTAGCTTCGCTGTGACTTGTTTAGATCATTTAGACCTGAGATTTCCAAAGTGTCTGTAATTGATCGGATTTTGAGCACGCCTTTGCATTATAAAAGACACCGGTTCGACCCCGGACCCGTGTGCCCTGGTCCTAGCTTCGCATTATTTTGTTTGTATCATTTAGGCCAGAGATTCCCAGTGTCTATAATTGATCCGATTTAGAACATAACTATTCATTCAGGGAATACCAATTCGATTCCAGGTTCGCCTCTGGTCCCATTTTCGCTGTGACTTGTTCGGGTCATTTATGCCAGAGATTCCCAAAGTATCTATAATTGATCCTATTTAGACCGTAGCTTAGCATTCGGGAGGACGCCGATTCAATTTCAGACCCGTCTACTCTGGTCCTAGCTTCGCTGTGACTTGTTTGGACCCATTTAGGCCACAAATTCAGGTCACCAATTTTCAATTCCGGGTTCGTCTCTGGTCCTAGTTACGCTGTGGCTTGGTTAGATTATTTAACTACTTGTCATAACTTGTTTATTTCAGCTTATCTACAAATCATTCTTCTTTGCTTGGGAATATAAGCGGATTATGCGTATGAAGAAGACTATAGACGAAAAATTCTGGGACCTCAGCAGTTTCAATGGAAAGATTAAGCGAAAACTGACAAGACATTTCTCGATCATCAGGTTTTTGATGTTGACCAATCTCGGTACTATCATTGTGGGTACAACGATTCTTCTTATATTTCCAATGGTACCTCCTCCTGAGAAGAAGAAGCCGCTTCCT